TATGCATGATTCTACACCTCAGCACAGCAGCCAGCTCCCCATCTCGTCTGTTTACCCTCCCGCTGCATCTGGCGGTGCCTACGCTCCGTCGCCTTACAATACCGCTCTAGTTCCCCCACAACTCTTCTCCGCCCATTCTCATACGAGTGGTTCCCCTCCCATTCCTCATACCACCACTATCGTCGACCCGAATCTTCCAGAGGATGTTCAGCAAGCCATGCAGGCAGCGTATGACTCAGTCGAATGGGCTAACGGCGACAACGTACCCGCAGAAATTCTAATGCCCACTGTTAAAAAGCTGGGAAGGGACTCTTGGGAGTGTCGCATCTGCCACAAGGAACATAAGCGACGTGATCATACCTTGACCCACGTAAGGACTGCCCACCTTGACAACAAGGGATTTAGATGCACATTCGAGAACTGGTATGTCTCAAAAAATATAATATTGTGTTTTTGTGCACGCTAACGGCCTCCTTTCCTAGTGATAGTGCTTTTGGACGGAAAGGTGACCTTGAACGCCATGTGAGCTCCACCCATCAAGCAAGCTTCTCAGACACTTGTCCATATTGGTGAGACACTTTTATAATCGTAGGCCTTTTATATGCTCACATGCTCTCAGCCAGTCCCAGCTCCACCGCAAAGACAACCTGTCCCGCCATATCAGGTCTTGCAAGAAGGCGCCTCAAGGTGCTGCCTATCAACAAGGCTATAATGAGCACCCATCTCAATACAATACCTCTGATCAAGTGGCTTCTTCTTCTCGCTCACGAAGGAATGATGCAAGTGTATATTCACAATATCCTCGAGGTCACAGTTCTACTGACCCTTATACAATGGTACGCCATGATCCTCTGGAGGGTCATGACCATCTACTCGTTTTCTCATCTGAAGTATATACTTCTGCGTGATGTGGTTAGAAGCCGCTTTTCCTCTGACGGAGGTGCTGACAGGCTCATGCGGTTTGGGGAATCAATTCCGTCCCTCATGGAAAACGAGTATTTGGCGATGCCATTTCTTCCTTCCCTCTCTTTTAAGTTCAATAGTCGGGGTATTTTTACTTACTGGTTGTTCTTCATCCCGACTATTCCGTCTCCTCCCCCTTCTCTGTTCACAGGACTATAACTGATCATATTGGCATTGCATTTCTTCTGCTTATTTGATGATCCACTTTGGGCATCTCATTACACTCACTTCACGCGCTTTCTCAACCAGCCCTCTCGGTCGCAAAGACGAACTTCCACGACTACGTTATCTCCACGATCTCCACGAAATCAAACATCGACCTCTAACGCCAATTCTTCCTTCTCTAATAATTTTCATGACTATTCTGGGCTTTTTAACTTGAACACAGCCCCTCCGTCCGTCCCCCAGGACTGGCAAACAACCTTCGTCGTTTCTAATGAATGTACAACTTATCCGTTCACTGGCACCGCTATCCTTACACCGAGTTGGGCGTAGCGTATCGGAAATTTATAGTAAGCAAGATTGGCCTTCTAATTTATTCCCCTACTCATATACATATGGCTTTTAATACAGGTGGGGATAGCCACCGTAGCCGCAGCCTTTAATTATCCTTGCTTTTTATTTCTAGCCCAATCTGGCTAATTCATTTTCCTTCTCAACATGATCTATCAAACAAATACTCTCGAAAGACACTGTTTCAGCTTTCACTCACGATATACCTCAATGTTTTCTGTTTCGTCCTTTGTTCACCTTTGACTTTTTTTTCCATTTCTCGAATGTCCCTTAGGACTTCGAGCGTCACGCTCATTGCTTCGTTTACATGTATCATTCTCAGTTTCAATTCTAGTGTCTTTCGAGATGAATATGTCTATATTGAGATACACTTTCTGGTGCCCAGAGATGGATAACGACAACCATTTGCAAAATAGGGTACAGCTGGAGGTTGTATAAATAAACCTTTTTGCTTTTCCCTTTGACAGGAGGGATAGCTACCCCGAAAGGACTGGGCACTTCCCTCTCAGAGCGGCGTTGACCCAATATTGGAAGGTATCAGAACAGCCTTTAAAAACGCTCAGCTGGTTGAATGAGGACTTCTATATTATTGAAGACGAAGGTTGGATGAAGATGGGATGTAGAATTAGAATATGCAAGGAATGTAAATAACTGTCAAAGGGATCAGATGGTGTCACCAAGAAAGAGCGTATTCTGCACCTACCAATAACGTTGGGGCCCCAGTAATAATTATAGTCTAGTCTCTCTACCTCATTGCTTGCGTAAGCTAGTCTCTGGTGCTAGTGTAGCCCTATTCGCATCTTCCTTTAGCGCCGATTTCGCGTTCTCATAGTGACTGATAATAGCAGCAATGTTCGCCATTCGGGCGGCGTGACCGGTTTCAAGAGCTGTTGATGTACCAGCTTGAACGTTATGGCTCAGAGGACGAGCTTTGAATTTCTCAAGATCCGGATAAGGAAGCTGGATCGGGTGCTCCTTGAACTCTGCCCAACCTCCGCGAATACCAATGTCAACCACCTTTAGGAGAACTCGAGAGAGCTCTTCAGTTCTGCAGGGAATAAATATCAGTTTTACTTGGCTGAGGAGTAACTACGACGTACTTGGCGGTTTCGATTTCAACGTTCTTGCCTACTGTCTCCAAATGTTCTCCTATGGCTTCTACCATCCCTATTAGTCGGTCCAGTCTCTCTTCTAGGTCCTCAATTTTGTCGTTCACATTAACCCTTCGTTTGGTCTCTGATCTTGATGATCTCCACGTTTCTGCTATTATCAGACCGGCAGCTACCGAAAACAGGAACCCTTCGGCAAGAAAGTT